ATAAAAAAATTATTAGTTAGGAGATATTTTAACTTTAATTTTGTAAAATCTATCGTATGAAAGACGAGAAGAAAAGACAGGAATGATATTCTTATGTTCTTATTTCACACGAACATTTTTTCGAATAATGAATAGTTACGACGATAATTGCGTGGATGAATTAAAATGAGATAAGTGTTTATATAAAATTAATAGAAAATTCTTTCTACTATATTATTTAACTACATTATTATAGTATTTTGAACATATTCTTCAACATAAACATTCAGAATATATATTGACAGTACATGTTTAAAGGAGAAAAGGATAAATTTTTAACATTCAGTAATATTCAACAACTGATATCTTATATATAATTGCAACGTGATTCAATTAATCGAATGATTGAACATTACCGATCTGTTTAATTAAATTTTCGTATTTTCGCATTCTTATCCATAATCTTTCTATAATTGAAAAATTCCAAGATTCATTTGCAGATTATAAATGTAGAAAAAGCTAGTCCAATTTTCGTATATATTTTTGTTGAAAATAGAGCATACGTGAAATATTACGTTATTTGTAATTAATAATAATCTATAAAATAGTTCTTTCTTTATTTCATTATGAAATACTATGTCATGAAATATTTATTATATGTATTATATTTTTGATATTATAACATACTAAAGTTTCCTTCTCTTTGTATTAGCTTTTTTTAAACGATTACGACGAAATACCATTTGATGCGCTTCTTTACTTAACTGGTGAATGCAATTACGGTGGCCGTGTAACTGATGATAAGGATAGACGTTTGCTGAATTCATTATTAAAGCAATATTACAATAATAAAGTTGTTACCGATTCACAGTAAGCTTTATAAATATGTCTAAATATTATTGAAATCAATAATCTATTAATTTACTTTAAATTATCGCAATTTATCATTGTATAATATATGTATTGTATATATCTTTTATTTTTGTATGTTTTTTAATGTTTATATATATAGTATGAATATAAATACTACATAGATAATTACCGTTCGAATAATTATGTATAGATTAAAGTATTTTGAACAATTTTCCTATAATTAATATTTCTTCTTATGCATCCTTATAGAGAATTAATATATTACAACATAAAAATTATCTCATTGCATGAAAATATTGTATTTGAATTCAATTTTTTTATTGTAATTAAGATTTACGAACACAATGTAAATCTTGTGCTTATAAACTTATGTATATTTATATTTTTAATACAGATATTGTTTTTCACCAAGTTGTATATATCGTCTACCAGAAAATACAGAATATCACGGATGTCTAGAATACATTCGAAATCTACCAATGACACAACAGCCAGAAGTGTTTGGTTTACATGAAAATGCAGATATAACAAAGGATAATCAGGAATCATTGCAGCTACTTAAGGGAACTCTATTGACTCAGACACATATTATTGGAGTGGGAGTTGAACGAGATGTTGATGACATCGTCTACAGTTTATGCGATGACATTTTATCTAAATTGACGTTACGATTCGATGTTTTAGAAGTTTCTAAAAAATATCCAGTGCTCTATATAAATAGCATGAATACGGTTCTTCGTCAAGAACTCATTAAGTTTAATAATTTGATTGATACTATTAGAGCCACATTGGTAGACGTACAAAAAGCAATTAAAGGATTGGTCTTAATGTCTTCCGAATTGGAAGAAGTCTTTTTCAGTATGAGCGTTGGCAGAGTACCAGCTACTTGGAGTAAAATGTCTTATTCTTCTTTAAAACCACTAGGGAGTTATATCAATGATCTGCTAGAGAGATTAGCATTTTTCCAAGATTGGATAGATCATGATGCACCAATTGTCTTTTGGATATCCGGCTTCTTTTTTACACAATCTTTTCTTACGGGTGCCTTGCAAAATTATGCCCGCAAACATAAAATTCCAATTGATAAATTAGATTTTGAATTTGAAATAACTTCATTTGAAAGTGATGTAAAAACTGCACCGTCTCGTGGAGTTTATATAAAGGTAAAATTTTTATTATATAACATTTATTATAAATAATTTAGAATTCTAAAATTTTCTTTTACTGTATACAAGGTGTATCAAAAATCGTGGTATAACTGATTGAAATATGCAAAAATAAATCGAAAAGAACGAATGACATTTTTTTACTTAAAGTTTCATTTTTGAGAAAATCGAACTTGAAGATTTATAAAGTATATTTGAGTTTGGCTAATTTCGAATTAGAGAGAAGAAAATAATTGCTCATTTCGTTTCCAAATAAATTCAATTTGGAAATTTATCGTTAATTTTTAACTAAATATTTTTTCAAACTGTGTTTTATTTGAAAACGCAGTTTTAAATAGAAATATTTTATTTTACACTTCTTATTTATTTTAGAATAAACTCCTATTAATTATCCATTTTTCTGCATTCTAAAATCAGCTAAATTTAAATATATTTTTCATAATTTTATAAAATTTTTGATAATTTTATATATTGTTATAAATAAAAATAAGAAGAATATTTAATATTGATATAAATATTAATATCTAATGTTAACATAAATATTATTGATATTTAATATTAATAATAATTAAAATCAAGTCTACTAATCAATACTAGAACTTCTTTATAATACTTGTAAATCTAGAGTAATAATTTTGCAACAAATATTATATTCATGAAGACTATAGATCAAATACAAATTATTGTAAGATAATAGATATAGAACTATATACAAACAATTATTCTAAGGAAACTTCTTTCAACTTTTAGGGTCTATATTTAGAAGGAGCAAGATGGAACAGGCAATTAAAAGAAATCGATGAATCTGAACCAAAAATTATGTTTGATTTACTTCCTGTAATATGGTTAAAGCCTGGCATAAAAGCTGAATTTATTATTGAATATGTGTATCATTGTCCTGTGTACAAGACGAGTGAGAGACGTGGTGTTTTGGCTACTACTGGCCATTCTTCCAATTTTGTATTATATATTTTATTTCCAACACACATTGACGAATCTCATTGGATTAAAAGAGGAGTTGCTTGCTTATGTCAACTGGATGACTAAATTATTGAAAAAATATATAATTATATGATTTTATATGGATATCAATTATATCTAAAATCCATATATATAAATATTTTAAATAAAAGTGTACAAAAAATAAAATTAAATTCAGTTCAAAAGTTATTTTGAAAAAAGTTTATTTATAAAAGATAATCTTATATAGAAATTGTTTGATATTAAAACTATAGAAAATAATTGGTATTAAAATCTATGGATATTTTTGGTATTAAAATCTACGTACATGATAGAGTAGATAGAGTACTTTTGTAAATATAAAAGGTATATAAAAATGAAATCAAGCAAAATACATATACGTAATTAAAATATTAAATATAGATATAACAATCCAATATTTAAAAATTGGTATATAATTATTGGTATATATTAAATAGATGTATAATTTATATATATATAT